GGAAAGAGTCAAAAATGTTCACCTGAAGGTACAGAAAGCCTGGCTACCTATGTTCCCTCCCTGCTCTACTGAGGTAGTAGATGTCCACGGTTGGAGCAGAAGCAGTGGTGTCTCTGGAGGGGCTTCACAGGGCTGATTGAGGTCCCTCTCTGGTCTAGTGGAGGTGAATGACCCCCAGTGCTGGGAAGGTGAAACAGGGAATGGGTCCTCTACTTTCCAAAAAGCCCTGCCCTAGTGCTTATTGTTCTCGGATCACTCACCTGTGCTTGCCCATGGATCTGGGCATAGATGGAGCTCTGATGTCCCTGGAAGATCACCTCCGGAGCTTTTCTGATCATTGACACCTCCAGGCCAGGTGGAAGGTTCCAGTGTAGTGATATCCCACTTGCCAGAGGCTGCAGAGCCCGCTGCAGGCATTTCACTGCCTGGTGAGGGGAAGAAGAGAGCACAGACCTCTTGGGTTCCCTTCCAATTCTGGGCAGGGGGGAAGTTGGAGGGGGTCTCTGAGTTGGAGCAGATGGTGGTATTTGGATTGCCTTGGATGCCTAGGGAGGTATTGAATAGAGCAGAGGGGTATCTGGGTCATTACCTCGGCTGCCATGTCCATCCTAGAGTGGATGCACACACATTCACCTTTGGTCTCCAGGGCCATGGCCTGGGAAAGGTGGAAGCTGTCACATCTGTTAGTAGGAAAACAGAAACACCTGTACAGGAAAGGAGGGGGAGGTTAGAGATGGGACAAAAGTAAGAGGCACAAAGGACAATAGTGGTACAAGGGACAGTCTAGAGGAGAGGTATGAATGCTTCTAATCGTAGAAAAGAAAATAACTCAGAGTTTTCCTATTCACTCTGGGGTGAGAGATGTTGCCTGCTGCACAGGGAGATTGTGAGAATGGTTTTGGGCCTCTGCACTCTGAGGTACTGCACGATGAGGGGGGAAAGTGCTGAGAAGAGCAGGGCAAGACTGGGAGAGGAGGCCCACTAGATGAAGAGTACAGGCAGTCTTCTGGAAGGGAAGTGTGTATGGGGGTTGGTGCTGAAGTTCCATTGAGGTAAAGAGATGATCTGGGGCTGATTAGGATCTGGGAGAATGTTTGAAGCACTCTGACATTCAGAGGGAGAGGAAAGCTGTGAATTAGCACATTAGGGGACAGGAACGGGGATCCCCCATTACCGGTGCTGATCCCGGTAGCGGTAGACCTCAGCCATGACAACTTCCTCTTCACTGGAGACCTTCCTTTGGATGAAGATGAAAAGCTGAGGGAGAGAGGAGGGGAAACAAAGATTGCCAGGGCTGGGCACACCTGCAGAGGAAAGATGCCCTCCTAAAATGCAGGAAGCTTTCCCAGTTTGCTCCCTTACCCTCTTCTGCCCACTGGCCTTGAAACAGGAACAGAGACTCTATGTCTCCTTTCATTAACACCAGGACAGCTCCTAGCACAAAGGGACACCCCGCAAGGAAGATCCACCTTCCCCAAGTGCAGGAAAATTCCACAGAAGCCCTCCCATGCTACCCACCCCAAAGGTGGTGTCACTTTCTCCCAGAGCAAACAGCAGCAGAATATCTCACCCTGAGCCCTGAAGTCTACCTTTACCCCATTGTTTACATGCATTCCCCTCCCCATAACCCTCTGGCCTCTAATACCTGGCGGGGGTGCCCATGAATGAGAGGAGTGCTGTAGATAGACTTTAGGAGGCCCAACAGGTCAGAGCCCCCCAGATCAGGGCAGATGGAGGAGATGCGCCCCACTGCACTGTCCATGCTTTCCTGAGTGTATTCCACACTCTGCCTGTGGGAGGGCACCAAGAGGGTCAGAGAGGGAGAACCTGGCCCACAGCTACTCCCACATGGCCAATCCCTAGAAAAGCCCTACCTTGCTACCAGTGCTACAGAAGCACTTTGATAAGAGGACTTACTCTCTCACCACCCCCAACATAACCCAGCCCCATAGCGGCCCTTCAGCAAGAGCCTGCCCCATAGTTCCACTTAGAAAAGTCATACTCTACTTACCGCTTGTCCCTGCCCCATCATCAACCCCAACTCACGGATAGAAGGCTTTGAAAGTGGCCCCAAAACTGTAGATGTTGAAGTAACAGCCCACAGGCAAACTCTTGAGGAGGAAGAGCAGTGTGTTCTGGGGACAAATGGAGGGATGGGCAGAGCTCAGATGGGACAGCTAGGCAGAACTGCTGCCCATGCGAAGTAGCTTGTCTCTATCCCCACTAGCTGAGCATGACTGATGCAGAAATTCCCTCCTGAAGACCTTCTCCAATGGTACCTGTGCATCCTGGAAGAGGCTGCGGTCCATGAGAAAGAGGAATTCCCCAAGCTGGCCTGGATTGCGTGCCACCTCAGGAATGTTGGGCATCAGTGTCACCATCACCACAGGGTCTCCCAACAGAGAGCCTGCAATGTGTAAGGTGAAACAAGGAGGATTTTTAGGCCGGAGCCCCTTTCTCTGTCTCTGCTTTTGTCCTCCACATAGCCCTCAGCTCTGACCTATTGCCTGAAAGGACCCTCGGATCCCCCCAGTCTAAATGACACCCTCTCTCTAATGCCCACTGCCACCCTCCTTGCTCACCAGGTGGAGCTTTGGGATCTTTCTTCTCCACCACAGCACTGAGTGGGTGAGACCCTCTGAAATACACCAGCAAGTTCAGATCATCTTGCAACCAGGGTGACAATTTCAAGGAGACCTGAGGACAAGTAGGGTGTGGGGCAGAAAGATAATCAAATAAAAGGACTGAAGAGCCCTAAGGAGCATCAGCAGGCTGCAGACCTTTCCCTCTTCTTCAGTCTTTAGGACTCTGGCTTCTGGCAGGGACATACCTCAGCAGATGTCTGATCTGGAGCTGTGTATTGCAGAGGAGTGCAGCTGCTGTTAATATCTATATGGGATATACCACGGTCTGACTTCAGACAGATACTGAAAAGCAGGGTTTCAGGAATCTCCTCCTTATCAGGGTTCCTGCCTGCAGTGAGAAAGAGGCAGGGTGACAGAAGTGACCCTAGGGCAGCAGAAAGCTATGATGGGGCACTGTCTCTCGCTGACAGAGGGGAAATGTGGCATTTGAGACATCCCTCACTGTAGAGCTTAGTGAGGACTGGGGCAGGTCGTGGTGGTGACTCTGTAGACTCACTGTGGTTTGTATAGGGATCTGTGGGGATCTCTTGCTGTGGGGCTCCTGACTGTGAGGTGGAAGGGGGAATATTGAGATTCACTCACTGAGGCACATGTGTAGATATGGGTGCCCACCCCCCAGGGAATGCTGGGGAGCGATGTGTTCCTTCCTGGGGGATGCATCGGAGCG